CAGCATCCTCGTGTATCATAACGCACAAGTACCCAGGTTTTTTCATTTGTTACCTGGATTAAGCTGTGAATTTTTCCTCATTCCTCAATTTGAAATAGGACGACTTTTTGTTGTGATTTTTCATTTGTTACCTGGATTAAGTTGTGAATTTTTCCTCAAACTCAATTTGAAATAGGACGACTTTTTGTTGTGCTACGGTTGTTAAAAGTCCACTTTTAACTTCACTTGTAAAGTTTTGGAACTAAAATCAATACAGTAATGTATATTGCTACCTTTGCAGCCACTTCAGTGATCTGTTAACTATCCTATGTGTTTTGCATTTTTGGGAAAAAAAGAATTCACTTTTTGTTTATAAATATTTACTCATTTAAATTACAGACCTAGTTTGCTACACACAAAGAGGAAACTACAGAGATGACCTTCTGTCCTCATTACCATTCTTCCCTTCTTGTGCTAAAGATAGCATAGAGAGTAAAAATAAATAAATCCTCAATAGCATTAGGAATTAGACAATGTCATGTTGAAAGATACCCTAAATGATGAGCCTTATCTCTCCTTGATGCCGGGACGGCAGGGGGGCCTGACCTATAGGGTAGGGGTAGTGCTTAAGCCTTTGCTAGGTGGTCTCTTTGCAGTAGGGTCCATTCCCAGCTGTAATTGCTTGTCAGCCCTAACTGGATGCCTGAACACCCTGGAATAGTTCAGCAAAGTATTTAAACAGATGGATGGTACAGGCCACTGGTACAAAACTGATTTTTTTTTTCTCTGGCCACGGCTCTTTTTCAGCACATTCCTTTGAAGTTTGTGCCACTGAGGAATCAACAACAGCTGAGAAACATGTGTTATCATACAACATTGAGCACAGCAACAATATTGCACAGCAAGACGCTTTTGTTCAATAATCCCAGACTACAGAAAGCACTACAATGTCTTTTGTTGTGGGTAAGCCCTTTTTCCAAGCACAGTAAGAGAGTAAACAGATTCCTTCCCCCCCTTTAAGGAGTAACTCAAAAGTAAAAAGGTGAATTAAGTGAATTTCGGAAGCACTCCCTATCTGAAAGCTTACAGTGCCTACCTCCTCCAGTCCTCCCCGATATATCCAACACCCTCCGTATATTTACGTTACCACAAAGACCACTGGATGCTTACCCAGATTTGAGTGAAGTAACAGTCCAGAGGGGCCCAGGCTGCAGTCCCCACGGCAGATAAGCTACAGCTCAAACCCACCTTCCTTTCCCAAGCAGGACAAGTTCTGTGATCTCAGCTTCCCAGGAAACACAGCGGAGACAGTGGAAAGAGCAGGGCAGCAGGCGGCACACACAGGCCAGCCTCCCTCCTCATCACATTTTATCAGTAGGGAGAAAGATGACATACAGTCTTTGGAAGAGGAGAGAAGAACATGAACATCCTCTCCTCAGCCAGGAAAACTATTCTTGTCAAAGCAGTGAGATTACCGTACACTTGGAAAGGGGTTAGGAAGGATAGCAAGAATTAGTTATTTATGAAATTGAGCTTGAAACTAGACTAGCTGTCCAGATGGGGAAGCACAGAGCTAGCTATGTGCATATGCAAGAGGACAGTAAGTTATAACCCAAAGCTGGCGCGGCTGCCTAACAGCAAGTTTCTACACAACCAAATCTCTTCTTTTCGCTGAAGAGAGCGAGCTACCTGCAACAGAGTAGAGCCTTGCATTTACAAAGTCTACAAGTTACAAGACTCAAACATTACAGAATACAGAAAGTCAGGCACTGAGATTTTAATGCGCCCCATTATGTTGTGAAGTCCCTACCCTAGCATGAAAAAAATTACAAGAAAACCTGAGCTGTCAATGTGGCCCTAGAAACCACAAACATTCACATTTAACTTCAAGATAAAGATCTTAAAAATCCAAGCAAAAAACCTAAAATTCAAAAGCAAACAAAAAAACCCACACTCCTAAGCCAATCTCATAATTACAGAGCTCATCAGAAAGAAAAAATACCAGGAACTGCATGTATCACACTGAGGGGGGTCCTCAGCCTGGCCCCACAAGACAGTTTTCGACCCTGCAATTCAATTTAATAAAGTTTCTTTCTGGAGAGGCCCTTCAAATTCAGCTTGGGGCAGACTGTTAAGGTACCATACAAGAAGCATGCACAGGTATTGTCAGAGACATACAGGGAATAAATATAACTCTAGTCTCCAAACCATTACAGCAACAGAAGAATCTTTCCAAATAAATGGTGATGATCAAGAGTTGTGCTTTACAACTTTCGAGAATGAATATTAGCACAAGCTACCATCCGATCAGCATTTAAAACCACAACTAATCAAGGAGTAATATATTTACATGTAATTATCCTTAAAATCATGTGTAAAAGCACTTAACAGAGATTCAGGAAAATCCTCATATCCTATGAGACAGGCAGAGGTCGTACTGCCATGCGATGGCAGAAGCTGGAACAGAACCCACCATCCCCAGTGCTCAGCACTGCACTTCAGCAATTAAATCTCCTCCTTTCTATCTAACATCTTCCTGTTCAGGGCTTCCCTCAAAAGGATTTTTAGAAGTGGTGCTAAACAACTTAATTTGACTCTTTAGAATTATTGGTAGTATTTCCAGAAATAGTCCAAGGTACAGTTTTAAAAGGCTTAAACTTCTTGCTAATATGACTTGTTATTTTTCTATTTCCTCCTATATAAAGTTTTTCATTTGTAGGGAAAATAAAAAGAAAGAGGATTAATTGAAACCTTCTATTTACTCCTATATAAAGTTTTTCATCTGTAAGGAAAATAAAAAGAAAGAGGATTAATTGAAACAACTGATCAAATTCAGTTGGGCTTTTGGGACCGTGGAAGGAGGAGGACAGAGAAATTTCTTAGGTGTAAGAAGCAAACTATCTTAATTCTCTCAGTTGTCCTAAAGGGCATACATCTGAACACTGGGAATGCCAAGCAGTCATTTCAGTTCCCTCAGCAATTGATCACATATCAAATCATTTTTTACTCTAAGACACAAAAAGAGAAGTACTTTAAAGTCTAACCTACTTTCTAATTAGATATGATCAAACAAAATTCCATCTGAAATGGTACTTTCTCTCCTCCTTAAAGAAAGGGGGAAAAAAAATGTAGGGCATACTTAATTTGCAATTTAGCCACCCAACCTTGTGGTCTTCTGGAATGGTATCTATCAAAAGAGGTAAGGCAGCCAAGACCCACACTGTCTCCTTCTGACCTAAAAAGTTGACATTTTATTAATGAACTACATACTCTATACTGAAAAAGGCAGAGCTCTTTACTTTTACAATGTTTCACACCATCACACCCCTACCAAACACAATTAACTGGGAGCCTGAAAACCCTTGAACAGGTGTCTTGGCAGAAATCATTAGGCAATTGATTTACGTGCTCTCCACAGCCCAGCACGGACTTCATTTCAACACGCGATACAGATTAGAGCCGAGGCAGAGGCTTAGAAGGTCCAAAGCAGACTTCATAAACCCCACAACAGCACTTTCTGACACAGATGTAAGCAGTTTCCAGCCATTCTGTTAAGGTGGCAACCCCCCGATGGTTTGGGGACGGAGAGCGTGACAGGTGTCATTCCAGAGGGGACGCCGAAATCTGTCACCTTTCCTCCCTCCCCATTTTCCACCCTGATGAAACCCCCAAGCAATATCGACCCGCAACGTCACGCACCGCTCCGCCGGCACACGAAAACACCACTTTGCTGAACACAAAATCGGTTGGCACTCACTGGACTACCCCAATCCCAAACCCGGACAAGACCTTCCCAACCATCGTCGAGAGCTGCACAAACCAAGGAGCAGAATCCATTTTCTTACCCTTTAAAGTTCACCTCTCTGTGGTGTTCTCCTGCACTGGATTTGCTGGACCTTTCCTCATCAATAGCTCCCACTCTCCCCCACAAAAAAAAAAAAAAAAAAAAAAAGAAAAAATCTCACACGAAGGCTGCAGGAAAACCCATTGCATGAGTTGGCTGGCAGCACCAGGGATGCAGCAATATGGGAGGCAAAGGAAAGAAAATGAGTAAATGCTGGTGGTGCAAGTTCTGAACATTTAAAAATTCATTCATCTATTCATCACTGACGGAGCCGTTTTAAGAAGCCCTTCCCTTTTCGTCATCCATGGCCTCTCCCCCACAAAAAAAAAAAAAAAAAGAAAAAGCACAAATCTCACACATTTCCTGCTGGCAAAACACATTTTCTTTTAATCTTTTTTTTTCTTCTTATTGGGGGAGAGAAAGAGAGATAGAGGGGCTGAGGCAGGAATAAGAGACATTAATTGTAGAACAAATCGGCACTGGGGGGGAAGACCAAAACAAACAGTCCACGTCACACACACAAAAAAAAAAAACCACAAAGAAGAAGAAGAAAAAAAAACCAGGTTTGCTTTTCCAAAGAAGAAGAAGAAAAAAAAACCAGGTTTGCTTTTCTTTTAGGGGACAGTAAGAGGATTTAAAAAAAAAAAAAAACAAACCCTAGAAAAACGATAAAAACGATTTCCCTGCGTAAGAAAAGTAGCTTCTGAAGTCCCTTTCCCAAGGACACCGAGAAATAGCCCTTACTTTTCCCCACGACGCCCGAAGGAAGGAGAAAGACAAAATGCCAGGAGAGAGGAAAAGCTGGCGGGAGCCGGGGAAGGAGCGAGGGAAGAGGCGAAAGGCCGGGAAGGAGCGGGAAGGGGAGACGCGTCAGGGGGAACGGGAGAGCCCAAAGCGCAGAAAAAAAAAAAAAAAAAAAAAAAAAAAAAAAAAACCCCTGTAGAGCCTTGATATTAAGAACATTGAATTTCCTCATCCATTTCTTATTTCAGTTATGAATTCTGCTTACTTGACAGGTACAGAGTACTTCATTAGGCCGGGTGGGCTGCGGGAAAGGAAGGGAGGGAGGGAGCGGGACGGCGGGGCAGCGGCAGGCGCGGAAGGGAAGCGGGGAAGGGAGGGAGGCAGGGCGGGCTCCAGCGGGACGAGACCGCGCCGGAGTTGGCCGCGCACTCACCGCTCGGCCGGCGGCGGCTCCGCGGGCAGCGCCAACGGCCCCAACGGCCGCCGGCTCCTCCTCACGCGCCCCGCCTTCCTGCCTCTCCCTCACTCCCCTTCAGCGGGAGAGCCGTGTAACGGAACTGGGGCGCCACCGCGGCATTGTGGGAGCTCTTAAAGCCGCAGCCGCCCGCTGCCCCCCGCCGCCGGCCCCGCCGCCTCCGCCTTCCCCTCAGCCTTCCCCTCAGCCTTCCCCTCCGCCTTCCCCTCCTTCCCCGCTGCCGGGCGGGCGGCTCAGCCGCAGCAGCCGCCTCAGAAAGGACACGGACGCCCCCGGCGGGGTCCCTGGGACCGGGCGGCCGGTGTTGGGGGCCGGGGGAGCGGGGCAGCTGGGGTCTGGCCGGAGGGAGAGCTACCGGA